AAGGTTGCTGACCCCTGGTTTAATATGTGAGGATGCTTAGGCCAATTTTCCCCAACATGGTGCTCTTCAGATATTTGGCTGTTAACTCTCATCAGCCCCAGCCAGCATGGCCAACGGTTGCAGAAGAAAGGTGTGGAGAAGGGTAAATCTGTTAGCTTTCTTTTCTACTTCACATTTTAGTGAATTCTAGTAAAAATTAATAGTATGCAAACACACACACACACACACACACACAATGAATGAATGAATCAATCAATCTTCCCCTCTTGAAGCTGTTTTGGGCTGCTTCTGCATGGCAGAAATAATCCAAGCTGACACATTTTAATTGCCCTGGCTCAATCCTATGGAATTCTTGAAACTGTAGTTTTGTGAGACACTTAACCTTCTCTATGTCAGAGAGCTCTAGTGCCACAACAAACTACAATTCCCAGAATTCCATTACACTAAGCCATGGCAGTTAGTGTCAACCTGGATTATTTTATATAGAGCGCTGATGATGCAGTGGTTAAATGCCTGTACTGCAGCCACTTGCTCACTAACCATAAGTTTGTGAGTTCAGTACCAGCCAGGGGGCTCAGGATTGACTCAGGTTTGCATCCTTCTGAGGTGGCTAAAATGAGTACCCAGCTTGCTTGGAAATTAAGGGGGACTGCAGACGGGTGGCTCTCAGACACCCCAGGAAGCGGCAGATTGGGGCCGTGGCAACCCCACACCATGGCCCAAATCCTCCCTTTTGCTGCCCTGAAAAAAGTGGCAAAATGCTGCTCCTTTTGGGGGCGGCAAAAGGCCACTCTAAGAGCTGGCGTGCAGCATAACAGTGCACAGTGTCAGGATGGCGTTGGTGTGGGGTTGGGGCAGCTGACATGTGGATGCCCCACCCCAACTCTGCCCCCAGGCTGGGCCGGTCTGCAGAGGCCCTAAGTCAGAAAGCTTTGCTAAAGGGACTGTTTTCAGATCAAGGTGAAATGAATGGGTGATTCCTTCTCACCTACTTAGGGAGACAGGATAAAAAGGTAAAGGTTTCCCCTTTGACAAGGTTGTCAAGTCGTGTCCGACTGTACGGGGCGTTGCTCATCTCTGTTACTAAGCCAAAAAGCCAGCATTTTCAAGGATGACTCTGTGGTCATATGGCCAGCATGACTGTACTGAACACTGTTACCTTCCCACTGAAGTGGTACCTATTTATATACTTGCACTTTTACATGCTTTCGAACTGCTAAGTTGGCAGAAGCTGGGACTAGTGATGGGAGCTCACTGTCACACAGCACCTGGCCTTGAGCTGCCGAATTGCCAATCTTGCAATCATCAGAGTCAGCATCTTAATCGCTGAGCCACCGTGGAACAGTAAATCTAGCCTACTTGCTTTTACCTAGAAGGTGGATGCAGAGCACAGTGGAGAGTGAGCTCCAACACTGCAATGAAAGGGAGTGAAGGAGGAGGCTAACCAAGTAAATTCATAGATGCTCCTGGAGAGTCTTTCCAAGTTGTAGCAACAAACAAATTAATCCTTGGAAACTGTAGCAAGCTGTTGCCAGTGGTATCACTGACTATGGTGTCACCCAGTGCGGGAAGGGTGCACATGTTCCTCTCTGCTCCTCTGTTCCTGGGCTTTTGTTGGTGCAGTCAGCAAGGGTGTGCCAGAGCCCCTCCTGCTCTCCATTTCCGGGCTTTCTCCTTGGAAGGCAAGCCTGGGGATGGAGCAGCTGGCAAGGGCATGTGTGTGCTCTTCCTGAACTTAAGGGTGAGAGGATCGAACTGGATGTCACCCTCCTTCTAGGTTTCACCGTGTGGTCCGCACCCTCCAGTGATCCACTGGCTGTTGGTCTCTTAGCTGCATTGGAGATTTCCACACAGCCCTTTTCTATTCCCTGGAGCTAAGCCACACCACCCCAACCTGAACAATTCTCACTCTTGACTTGTTCCTGGGGATGAGTCATGAAAACTGGAGACTCAGGGCCAGGCCTTGAGATCTGGCAGCTCTCTGTTGGATGTCAATTGGAATAAAAAAGAACTTGGTGAAGTGTAGGGGAGCGTTCCTAGTTACAGAAGGGCATGGCATGTGTCCACATGGGACAATTTCCTTTGGGGAGACTTTGAGCCACCCAATCCTCCCAAGTGTTTCAAGAGCTCCAAATGTCCAAGCTTGTTTTTTTGGCTCGGCATATGTATCTACAAGGCTGGGCATGGAGACACCATATCTATTGGTATGAACTGGGTTATGGATTGATATCTTCATTCCTTCCTATAGAAGAGGACAGCAGAGAACTCAGTGTTGTTGTTGCTGGGTGTTTTTTTTTTAAATGGGTGGTTGCAGGTTTAGAGAAGGCCTAAGGCAGGGGTAGGCAACCTGCGGCCCGGGGGC